GAGATGAACTTACCCATCTTTAAGAACTGTATGCTGTAAAATAAGAGATGAACTTACCCATCTTTAGGAACTTTAAGTTGTAAAATAAGAGATGAACTTACCCATCTTTAAAAACTGTATGTTGTAAAATAAGGAAGTCTGCAGCACCTTTATCAGCCAGGCGTAGCTAATATGGGCTAGGCAGGTGTCTAGAATTTAGGGTTTATAAACGGAGTTTAATGTTTAACATTTTGTGATTACCTCAAAATCTGACCAAATATCTTCAGAACTCTATATATAGTTACTAGTTTTTTATTAGAGGAATCTGTACCTTCAGAACTATAGATGTAGTTACTAGTTTTTTGATTAGAGGAATCTGTACCTTCAGAACTATAGATGTAGTTACTCGTGTCTTGATTGGAGGAATCTGTACCTTCAGAACTCTATATGTAGTTACTCGTGTCTTTATTGGAGGAATCTGTACCTTCAGAACTCTATATGTAGTTACTCGTGTCTTTATTGGAGGAATCTGTACCTTCAGGACTCCATATGTAGTTACTCGTGTCTTTATTGGAGGAATCTGTACAACTTTCAAATTATATTTAATCTCCCCAGTTTTAACTGTAAGATAGTTTATGATATGTTCGAGCGAAAGTTAGAGAAAATGTTTATATTTTCTCTTACTTCTAGATGAGAAAAAAAGGGTTGGGCGTGACCTAAAGGTTAGCGTGTTCTGACTGTGAATTCGAGTTGGCTGTGAGTACTGTTGACTATGTGCCACCTCTCTAGTCTATGAGTCCAGAATTAGGGACTACCATGCACATATAACTTTTTGTGTAACTTTGCACGAAATCTCCAAACCATCAATAAACAAAAAAAAAAGATTAAACAAGAGGGAATCCTCAATAGCCGCGGCACTTGAAATTCTTTTAGGCAGGATTAGAGTAAATTAATGTGTGAAACCTTTTTATATTTCCTTTTTATTAGCTATATTTTTGTGCGCCAGCAATACCAAGCGTGGAGCGCACGTATACCCGATTCAATTTTATTACTCATTCGGCTCTCTACCAGCCTATCCTGAAATTAAAATTATTTTAGGCAGGATTAGAGTAAATGAACCTATGAGACCTTGGGCGTGGTCAAATACGTCAATCGAAAGGGTTTGACCTTCGGAGTTCAAAACTCGGCCAAGAGATGATATGAGCTATAAGTTTGTACTTGAAAAAAAAACAACAACAAAAAAACACAACAAACTAAGTACAGTTCTATGAGCCGCTATGCCGCGGCTAAAAAAAAAACCTTTGTAAAACGGGTAACTATATTATTATATATACTTCTACCAATAACACGAGTTCCATGTTCACGTCTTGTATAGTTTGTCTGGCGTATTCTGGAACCAGACTTATACTTAGAAAATATTATGAAATTCTGGAACCAGACTTACGCTTGGAAAATATCACGAAATTCACGTACAATCGTATGCTCGTTTGGTCAAATCTAGTACTAAAAATTCTTTAAAAATAACGAATGTATTAATGTGTCCACAGAACAAAAACACACATTGAAAAAGGTCGAAACAAAGATAAAATAACCGAATTTATTAATGTATCTACAGAACAAAAAAAACACACATTGAAAAAGGTCGAAACAAAGATAAAATAACCGCTTTTAGTTGGGTGGATTACAAACTGATATTACTTACACGTTTCTTTGTTTGTTCCAGAATTTTCCTGCAAAGCTAGACAAGGGCTACCTTCTCTTGTTGGTCGAATATTAGGAACTGACCGTCACTCTTATAGCGTATCCACGGCCTCATAGTACGGAAGGACTTTTTGAGGCTACGAGTCCCGATCCATGAATACTCGGATTCTCAGTCCGGGCACACTAACCATTTGGTCACACACTGTCAACAACTTGAACAATCTAATATGAATTTGAAGAAATGACACTATATATTGTTTAAATACGTTAATTTATCATGTTATTTATACTGTTTGTTGTTAAGCACAAAGGTATACAGTGGACAATCTGTGCCCTGTTCATCGCGGATATTGAAACCCGAAATTCAGAGTGATAACCCCTAAGACTTACCGCCGAGCCACCGCGGCAGGGGGAGATTTACATTGTTATAAGACCAAATGTATTAGCAAACGATTTACTGATGAAAATTTGAATTGAAACACTTTACTCACAAATGAACAAATTATAAAATGTCTAATAATTAACTAACTACAGGTCACAGGAAAAAAAAAATAGAAGTCTATTTTTGGTTTTGAAACTTTTATCTTCTTCGAAAATGTATTCTTCAAAACTTAATAATAACTTAATAATACAGTTAACTTAATAATACAGTTTGAATCATTTCATTAAAATCTGATTTTTGACCCTTCCTTTGGTTTACTTTCTATTTTTGTCAATATTCATTAATTGCCATAAGCGTCACTATTTTTATAATTTATTTATACAAATATATATGAATTATTAATAAAATTCCAGGCATAAAAAATAATGTTATAAAACAAATCACTAATTTATACTTACCATATTATTAAGTACAGAAGAAGAAGAAAAAACACGAATCCACAAATACTTCCTTTCGCCTACGCATATTCGAATTTCACGAACAGAATCCCTTTATCATACGAAGCCGCAGTGGCCAAAATGTTCCCTCAGTTATAATCAAAACTTCAGCATATCTCGAGTTTCTGTTGGACGAGTGGAGGCGTTATGAAAGAATAGGAATGTTCTGATTGGATGATGGTGTTTGACGTCAAATATCCTGGGTAGTGAAGATCATATCTTCCTGCACATTTTCCTATATAAGACCGAGCACAATTAGATGAGACAGTATCTCCATCAAACCACATAGAGAAGTCTTTATATCATCCAGTAAAAAGGTGCCGATCAAGATGGGTAAGTTCATCTCTTATTTTACAACTTAAAGTTCCTAAAGATGGGTAAGTTCATCTAATGTAGATGAACAAAATCTTTCCAGAACCCCGACCTGGCATTTCGTTTCATGATCACTTTAGCGCAAACCAAACAGTGAATGTTTCTTCGAAGTGTCATTAGTTCCTTAAAAACAATATTTTACACATAGATTTGGATAACAATATTTTACACATAGATTTGGATAACAATATTTTACACATAGATTTGAATATTTTACACATAGATTTGGATAACAATATTTTACACATAGATATGAAAAACAGTATTTTACACATAGATTTGGATAACGGTATTTTACACATAGATTTGGATAACAATATTTTACACATAGATATGAAAAACAATATTTTACACATAGATTTGGATAACAATATTTTACACATAGATATGAAAAACAGTATTTTACCTATAGATTTGAAAAGCAATATTTTACACATAGATTTGAAAAGCAATATTTTACACATAGATTTGGATAACAATATTTTACACATAGATATGAAAAACAATATTTTACACATAGATTTGGATAACAATATTTTACACATATATTTGTATAACAATATTTTACACATAGATTTGGATAACAATATTTTACACATAGATTTGGATAACAATATTTTACAC